GGATTTATTCACACGCTATCTATCCCTTTTTGCTGCCGATATCACATGTATTGCTATTTGGTGTTTTAATACGAGCTCTCGAAGCCCAGTTGTTAAGTTGCAGAAATCATTTGGCTACCCATTTCCCTTAAATCCTAGGCAGGAGACTTGAACGGTGTGTTGTATCACTGCCCCCTTGTGTCGTGGAAGTCTCAAATGTCATACGCAGAAATACACCACGAACATTTTGTCATATCGGCGAATGATCATTCGCCCTTTCAAGAATCAGCGATTGAAGCAACTTACATCGGCATAGAGAATGCGTGTCATGGCCGCATGTAACTACCCAATGCCCAAATTTCCAAAGCGTCCTGTATGATTTCAATACTGGGTTGTCCAACAAGTCGATCTGTCCACTGGGCCATCTGTTGCTTGGTGATGGTCTAGGTTTCAGATCATGCACGATGGCCAATCCATCATTACTTTTGTAAGTCGTGTACTATAGAAAGACTTCCTTGATCTGACTGTGAGAGACTGATCTGAGATTACTGCAAGATACGACGGGATCGAGTTCGGCCATAGAATCGAGATTTTGGCCATGGAATAAAGGTTGGCCATGCCATGGGATCAAATCCGAATGTGGGATCGAGTTCGGTCATCTTGTCAAAGACCATTCCTCCTAGACCACGACAGGACATGTCTTGTTGCTGAACCATACGATAGAACGCAACCTTCTGGATGGGGACTTGTCAAGAAACTCGAAGGAAATAGCATTTACGAGTGATTGGAGGCAGAATAGGCGATGGTGGGGTTTATAAAAAAAAGTCAGAGTCAGATCCTTATTTATGAATGAACAGAAGATATGCTTGACGAGTGGTGACTGAGGTCCAACGGTGTTCTACCCTTTCGTTTTGAGATCCAGTCAAACTGTTTCGGAACAGGATTAGAGGAATGGAGCGGAGTCGGAGCCGGGTAAGAGCATGTTCGGATACAAATATTTTTGAAATATTGAAAACGCAATATCGTTGGCATCGTCCTGAATGTTGGTCGTGCTGCAAGCTAGACACAGACTAAGTCTCAGCGAATGTGAAAGAAATGCTGTATTTGATAACTACCTAGACATAGACTAAGTCTAGGTAACGAGTCAGCAAGACTGAATACGAGTAACGACGATAACGGGCATACCTCAGCAAACGTGAAAGAAATGCTGAGGTGAACTGTCCAGGAGGAAAGATATAAGTATGAGGCATCAAGAAGTCCGAGACAGAGAGAAGCAATCAGCTATAACAACAATGGTGAGGACTGCCTAAGGTGTCGAAGGTGCCAAGAGGTAATAAGAGTCAAAAAGGAAAAAGGGAAGACGAAAGCTTACCCGGAGGCTAATCCCCCGGGTTTCGTAACGTGTGGACACAGACTTCTCTTCTTATTGCCAACAGGTCGGAGCTTTAAATCAGCTGTTATCGATTGATAGTCAAAGGCATATGAGTCTCATCATGGATCCTCAAGAAGATCAATTTGCAATAGATCGTCAATGGCTTGCCTTGCTTGTTTCCAATCCTCAACTGGAGGTTCGGGACTGTCTTGTTAAATGTTTAGGACTGGTCATCAGTATTGTAGTCGTTGCAACACATGGTACATTGCAGACCATGTATCCCAAAGACCGACAACCATATCACACCTCGGCCCTCTCTGGGCAGGACTGGGTTATTGAATTACTGACTGGTCACCCAGAATGCATCTGCTGTGAACTTGGCATGCATGCCCCTGCCTTTGTGGAGCTTATCACTCAGCTTTGCGCCATGGGCCACTCAGATTCCAAATTCATCTCACTTGAGGAACAACTCACAATCTTTCTTTACACTTCGGTGACTGGCCTATCAGTCAGACATGTCGGGGAGAGATTCCAACACTCAAATGAAACAATATCTAAGTACATTAAATTTATATCTAGGATGCAGTGGATATCTAACTCTAGCGCATAGGTACTTTCACAAGGTCCTCATTGCTTTCTCCTCTGAACCATTCTATTCAACATATGTCCAGTTTCCTGATGGGTCTGTCCCTCATGAAGTCCACAGAAATCCTAAGTGGTGGCCTTTTTTTAAAGGTGCCATTGGTGCAATAGATGGGAGCCATATTCAGGTGACACCCAGGGCTACTGACTGTGCTGTGTATCATAATTGGAAGGGGTTCCTGTTGCAAAATTGTCTTTTTGTGTGTGATTTCAATCTCAAATTTACCTATGCACTCACTGGCTGGGAAGGCTCTGCAACGGATGCATGTGTTTACAAAGATGCATGTCTGAGTAACTTTGAGGTTCCCCCACGCAAGTATTTTCTTGCAGATGCAGGTTATCCACTCCGTCCTGGCCTACTTGTGCCATACTGAGGTGTGTACTATCACCTTGCTGAATGGGGATGCGCAAACACCAGGTAGGTCCTTTTACTTAATTCAAACTAATTTTGGAACTCATCTCCCCTACAGGCCCTCTAATAAAGAGGAACTATTTAATTTGCAACATGCATCAGTGAGAAATGTCATTGAGTGCATCTTCAGTGTTTTGAAGCATCGTTTTCGGATCTTATTGTTGCTGCCTGCATATGCCATGGAGTTACAAGCACGAATTCCCACTGCACTGTGCGCTGTTCACAACTTCATCTGTGTGCATGATCTCATGAACATCCCCACCAATGAGACCAATGATGAAGATGATGACAAGAGTGAATATTCTGGTGGAAATGCTGAAGAAGAAGAAGATATTGCTGCTATCGAAGAAGACAACAAACCTGAATTTTGTCAAGGATCTGCAATGCATGATCACATCACATCCGCAATGTGGAATAGTTATCAGCGTATCTCGTTAGAATGGGCTTTTGAAGGTATAGATCTTGATGATGAGGTTGAGGGGGATGAGGACCTCGAGGACGCTACTGATGAGGATCTGGACGGTTTTGCTTCTGAATAGTTCACACTTCGAGTACTACTTTGTAGCCTCCTAAATCAGACAAACATTGTTGCATTGTGACAGTTGTGAACACATAGTATTGTACAAACATTGAAATGAAAGCAAGTGGTAAAGAACAAGGTAATACAGTGGCTCAAAAAACTGTCCACATGTTTTTGCATTTTTTACTATTTACAATATTGTGTGAGAATACATAAAGACCTCAGTGACATGCTAATACCATATTGTGGTGCTGCTTCAGGGCTTTGGATTGAGCACCACATTGTGAGAATCAGAGGAGATATGGTGGAGATACAAGGCTTACAAAATCATGACTCATGTGGACAGTTTTTTGAGCACATATTAAAACTATATAAATCATCATTTATGACACCATAACAATCATGCCACCATTAAATAAATTATAAAGTGGTGTCATTATGTCATTTTAAAACCATATCTAACTATACAAACCAAAAATTTCCATATGTCATGGTTATATTCACCATGAAAGCCACCCCCCCTGCTCAAAGGGATAATATCCTCTCTCTTTCCTATTCTGGCCTCTCTGCTTGTCAAATTTCCTCTAGAACTGGAGTATCCAAGTCCACTGTGGCCAAGTTCATCAAAGAAAGTCACACAGACAAGGAAAACTTCTGTGAAGGGTGTCCATCCAAGCTCACCTCTACTGATAGGAGGGCTATTATTCAACATATCACTACAGGAAAGGCTGATAATGCTGTCCAGGTCACCTATTACATCAATTCCACCATCACATTCCCTGTCTCTTCACACACTGTGAGAAACATTCTCAAGACAGCTCATCTCAGGTCAGTAACAAGGAAGAAAAGGCTCTCCTCTCTATCACACATAAACAGAGATGACTAACCTTTGCCTTAGTCCATCAGAATTGGATTACACAGACTGGAAGCCTGTTATATGATCATATAAGACCACAATAAATAGGATTGGGTCGGATGGCAAGGTATATATGTGAAAAAGAAGGGTGCTAGTCCTCTCTGCATATGTGTGATAGAGAGGAGAGCCTTTTCTTCCTTGTTACTGACCTGAGATGAGCTGTCTTGAGAATGTTTCTCACAGTGTGTGAAGAGACAGGGAATGTGATGGTGGAATTGATGTAATAGGTGACCTGGACAGCATTATCAGCCTTTCCTGTAGTGATATGTTGAATAATAGCCCTCCTATCAGTAGAGGTGAGCTTGGATGGACACCCTTCACAGAAGTTTTCCTTGTCTGTGTGACTTTCTTTGATGAACTTGGCCACAGTGGACTTGGATACTCCAGTTCTAGAGGAAATTTGACAAGCAGAGAGGCCAGAATAGGAAAGAGAGAGGATATTATCCCTTTGAGCAGGGGGGGTGGCTTTCATGGTGAATATAACCATGACATATGGAAATTTTTGGTTTGTATAGTTAGATATGGTTTTAAAATGACATAATGACACCACTTTATAATTTATTTAATGGTGGCATGATTGTTATGGTGTCATAAATGATGATTTATATAGTTTTAATATGTGCTCAAAAAACTGTCCACATGAGTCATGATTTTGTAAGCCTTGTATCTCCACCATATCTCCTCTGATTCTCACAATGTGGTGCTCAATCCAAAGCCCTGAAGCAGCACCACAATATGGTATTAGCATGTCACTGAGGTCTTTATGTATTCTCACACAATATTGTAAATAGTAAAAAATGCAAAAACATGTGGACAGTTTTTTGAGCCACTGTATCTGACTTGGATGGTGAATGGGATGTAGAGCCCATTGTTGAATCTGTTGCAATTCCAGGGCCAAATGCTTTGAAGGGAGACCCCACAGATGTAAGTTTCAGATGTTAGACTACTTGATTTAATCTACCTATCTGACTCTTCTCTTACTCTAGGCACTTAAGTGCCGCAGGTCCAGGTTCAGAAGCTTGTTGAGGAAAATCACACTATTCATGAGGAGAACAAAGTTCTTGTTGCTGAAAAGCATAAATGCAAATGTTGCACAGAAGCACCTGATGAACTCCTGGCCCACAAGCAGACAATAACACTCTACACTTGTAAATATGGCATGACCATTGAGATGTTCCCTAATGCCAAACTTCTCAGCAAGCAATGTCCTGAGAATCCAACTCCATTCAACAGCCAAGACCAGTGCTTGACAGTAATAACCCAGGAATCAGCATTTTTGGATGAACTATTTCAGCACTTCCCTAGTCACTTACACAGTCTCATGGAAAGTTCATATTTCAGCAATCTTGTACATATTAATACATGTTTCAATACTAATTGTTGAACTGACATTCATCCAGCATGACCAGGTCATGAAGTCCATTTCTGAGGCTCACTCATCAGAGATCAATAAACTATGTAGTGTTGCGGGTAATATCTTTGGCCTTCCAGGAGTATACTTCAGCAATATCCACTATCACAGCTGATGTTGCAGAAATACAGAACATGCTTGAAGTGTCAGCAACAAATCCAAAGTACAAGACTTTTCCACCAGTCCTGTTTCTTGGAATGCAAGAAGACCTGTCCTTGAAGACTGTGTTCAGAAACTGGAAGCTTTTGGCTAAGGTATGTGTTTTTTTCGGTCAATGAGCATGTTATTGTGACATTGATATATCTCTGAATAGATTCTGAAAGCCACACTACATGGCATTACTTCACTTCACCAAGAGACAACTGGTGGACCAAAGACAAATGCCCAGAAGTGGAACTTCAAACACATCATGTCAGGATCTATTGCATGGGCTGCCATCATCGTGAGTCATCATCTATGCTATGGTGTCAATTAGTCAATACTATTATCATAGGCAATCTTTCTGCTATTGCCCAATACAGAATTCCAGAAGTCTGGTATGCAAACACAACAATGGCTAGACACTTGATAAAGTGCCTAACCAAAAATATTGTTGTAAGGTCAATGCTCTGCCTAGCTGCTACACTTGCAAGCAAGAATGTTTGACCCTAAAGGGAATTGCTACTGAGAATGGCCAATGATACTAAAGACCTGAAAGTGTGCAGAGCACAGGAACAAGCACTTGGGTATGTAGAGTGCAAGAATGTGGAAGTGCAGTTGATGAGCAGTTGATGAGTGGTTGATGAGTGGTTGATGTGGAAGTGCAAGATGCTAGGCTAAGGGGTAGGGAAGTCTTAAGGAATGACATGGGTAGCAAGTGAGGGCAAGGGTATTGATTGCACAGGTAAGGAAAGTCAAGGTAAGGTGTCCAGGTATAAGGTAACCAATAGGGGCTAAAGAGCACGCACTAATGGTGACTGCTCCTAAGTAAAACCTAAGGGAAGGAAATACTGTAGAAGAGAAGTAAATACAAAGTAGTCACTCTAGGCACTTTATACTAGCTAAACCCTCTCAGAAACAGAAGGGACAGGACAGGCAGGCAGTAGGAATATGTAAAGACATGTAATAAGGCTGCAACACTTGTTACAACACATGAGGCAAGGCAAAATACATACCAATGAGGTTGGATGGACAATGGACTGATGCAGGACATCTGTGAGGTAATCCAAAGGCATGGGAAATCAACCACAGGTATGTGTGCAGCACAGGAGTGAATGCACAGGTCTGCAGAGTGTGGGAATGTGTTGTAGAGACCCCATCCTCTACAGCCATATAACAGGCATATTTTCGCATTTTGGCCTTTGTGCTGATGCCCTCCAATAAGCACGATACATGTGCAGTATTTACGACGACATGCACTTTAGCGTGCTTCAGACATGCTATGAATGCACTTTTGCGCACTTTCATGTCCTCGTCACCAACTGTCCACATGTCCTGTCCTCATCCTCCAAGGTCCATTGGTGCATGTTCTATCTATTCTTACTTCAAACACATATCACAGAGTTACATATGGTATGCAATTACTCATTGCCTCGCTATTTTTACTTAAGTTACATCACTTACGATATTTACCACTACCTATTCACTTCCGAAGCCTGGGAATGTGCTTATGAGGCATTACATGCCTCTGGGTAAATTTTAGTTACTTACTTCCCTTCCACTAGTATCCCTGAGAGCAGCAGCAGATAGTTGAATTGACTACCACCTTTGTCAATTTTCGCACTTGAGCTCAGAAAAGGATCATCTCATCTCCATCATCTCCCACCAATCCAAGAAAAAAATTAGTATCGCTCACCTTGAGGTCTAGAGCCCAGCCATGAAGTGTGCATTTCACACATCAAGCACACATTTTCACATACCTGTTGCATCCAGCATGCTTTGGCACCTATTGTTGCACTTCATACTCTCATGCTCCACCAGGCCCTCTGTCGAGAGCTAGTTCTTGGTATTCCCCCTCAATTCTTTAGAGGAATCCTTTCTCAGTGGCAATCCCCTTGGGTCAAGTTTGACTTGCATCCAGAGGAGCTCTGAAGAGTCCTTATCTTTAGTTTCCTCCCATCCAAATTCCTCACCTTCAGCATGTCTGGAGCAGGTTGAATGTGGGAAAAGTGGTCAATGCAGAGTGGTCATGTACTGATGCACCTAAAATACTTTACCAGGTGAACTGACAGTGTGCAAGGCATGGGAAATGCGCAGGTTAAGATGCAGGAACATGAATAGTAATGCATAGTGTGCACAGGCATTGCGGGAAAGTGCAGCCTAAGGAGCAGACAATGGTTTTGTAGCTGAAACTAATGAAGGCCACATATAGGAGAGTGATGAGTGATATGAGGGCTACCTTTCCATCACCTATATCAAAAGATGGCCATTGCAAGCCTAGCAGGAATATGGTCATCACACTGGCTTAGGAAAGTCCTCTGGTATTAACTACAAGGACCTATTCTTCCACTATAAGAAGCTCTTGCCCACAAAGTGGGATAGCTGTTGCATCCAGACCATTGTGCAAAACATCAACCAAGAAATTTTTGGCTCCACAAAATCTTCTGCATCTGCAGCCAGTCAGGAAGATCATTCCAGCAAAGTCATTCATGCCATGAACACACTCAATATGGATAGTGATAGCAAGTTGGATGTATCTACCCTGTCTTCTGCAGTACAGGGTGCCACTGCCTTTCAGTCCAACATCATCAGCATGGCACAGCCTCCAGTATGCCCCACACCCACACTGAGCACTGTTTCCTCTCTTAGTACTACCTCCACTCTCAGCACCACTTTTGAAGCTCCTGTTCAGGATGTTGCAGTGGGTCCAGTGACTACTACTACAGTTGTAGTGCAGGATGCAGATGTGGGACAGCAATTGACTTGAGGTAGAGGAAAGACTAGGGCAAAGAAGCTTGTCAATGCAGCCCAAGGTGTTTAATGTAGTACTTGTGCTTGTTAGAATACTATTAGTAGATAAATTGGTCTCATTTCATTTCATTTTGTAATGTTGCTTTTAAATTTGATATCACCTTAATAGTTCAAACTTGCATGCACTAAGACTAAGTGTTGCTTGATTGATTAACACTGATACCTTGCCAAAATGGTACTTCAAATAGAATTGGGGTTCCATACATATAAAAACCCTTTAGTCTAACAGTTTTGTTGTGGTGAGTCCTAAGTAATCATGTGACCATAAGCTTAAGATAACTAATACCTACTAGATAGTCAAGCATTTAAATCCTACCAAGTACAGACTAATAGACAAGTAAGTAATACAAACCTAATACAATATAATAGTGAACTAACAAACATAACATAACAGGACCAGAATATAAGAATATCAATAAACAGTAAGCAATATGAGTACAAATACAATACAATATAATTAACTAATACACATAGGGCAATAGAAACCAAAAGATAAGATAGCAATGTAGCAAAGATGATAGAAAGGGGCTTGTAAGATAAGGTCAGTATTCCAAGAAATCAATTTTATTGTAACATGAGGGCATCATTGCAACTGATTGCTGTACAAACAGTCCATTACAATGACTAATATTGATTTGAACAAATTTCAATCACCATTACAATGGGTATTGCAACCATGATTGTAATGTCCATTACAAGACACACTCTATTATTGGAAGCTATTTCAAGCAGTGGTTTGTATTTAAACCTTTCAATGCTTTGTAATGCATTGAAAGCTAGATTAGGAATTTCCAACAAACATCTCTTATCTACACATATCTTGCAGGCTTTTCAATGAGTAGTCCAGCCTCTTGGTTTGATAATTTGGTTGCATATATCACATGATTTTGAGCACTCAGGGGCCATTTGGGCACACAATTACAGAGGTTGTTTTTGGAAAATTGAAGATTGAAGAAAGAAAGAGCCAGCAGGCCTCGTGTTGACACATGCTTGTCATCAATTACCATAGGCTTACAAATCCTTGAACACATTGAAACCCGGCCAGGAACATTACCTTGTGATTTCAGCACACATTTCGATGACATCTAAATATAGCTGATTGCAACCGCTTTCGTAAATTTCCGACACAGCAGGGTAACGCTGTAAGCTTTGGTATCAGTGGCGGACGACAAAAGACAACAGAGAACTATCCAGTTTAGATGCCGGTTCAGGATAGATGACTAATGACTCGGAATGCATCAGAAGAAAAGCCAAATGCAGAATAGACTTTTACCACACCATTCGAAATCTGAATGAGACTATTGAATTCCGAGCCACCTGCTAAACTAAGGATGGTCCCAAACCTCGGAGGAAACATATCTGAAAACGGTAGGCTATGCGTGGAGCCATGACTGTGTAGTGCTAGTCCATCAGTGAGTTTTAGCAAAAGTTGTCAAAGTGCGCCTCACAATACGAAGTCCTGGACCCTCATACTCACAGGAAAATATTGTCAGCATGGGCACAGACCACCACCACTGCCTGCATTGAGATACTCTGCAATAAACTCGAGGTTGGGTGCCATTTCCTTGGTTTCGCCTGGGTTCAGTATTATTGACCGAAGATTGTAGATGCCAGAACACTAGCTTGGAATCTGACATGGGGCTTTTCTTTTCCCTTTGACTGGCTGCTCGTTTCAAATATCGGTTTTTGGGGGCGGTAGGTTGCAATAATCATCATCTGAAGAACCCAATGAAGCAGATATCTACAGGGGTACTTGCACTGATGTACCTTGGTGTGCATCAGCACATGCCCGCCAGTACCATTTGAGTCATGAAATAGCTTTCAAGGAAATTTCAATGCCTCCCACTAGTTGGCAAAGCATACACCCGTCACATGCCGGATAAAAATACACCAAAAAGTGGGGTGGGCTTTCGCTCCACCTCGGATGTGCTAGCCAACCGACTGCGGTATGGTATTTTTGTATAGCTTTGCTCTTTTGAGCTACTGAGCGCACCGCTATATAATCCCAAGTGTGTATATAAGGCGATGGGAGTAGGGCTTCTTTCCGTATTGTGCGCCTACGACTGAGATGTCGACGTCCCCGCCCTCGAACGAAAGATCTGCCGTGGAAGAGCGTCCACATCATGCTCACCACCACTCATCACATATGGACGCAGAGACAAGAGCAATCGCGTGCGTATAATATATATGATTGCCCTGTGTCAAATGCGCAGTCTGACCCTTTTATGTCAGTAACGCCGAAACCAAGCTATCAAACCCCTTGCGCGGTATACCTCATGATCGTCTTATGGCGGATGTAGAGATTTTTGCCCAGGAGAAAGGGCTGACTCATCTGCTGCCTGAGCTTAAGAAAGGGGCGCTTGTTGCCCAGGATCCCACGTGTATGTTAATTTCAGAAACGTTTTCCCTAGCTGACTTGAGATCTTTAACGTGCAGGTCATAATCGTCTAGACATATTTTCAGATGAAGAAAAACGGATTTTAACGGAAGAGGTCACGCACAAGTGGCGACAAACGCCCATGCTGTATTACGTTGGTGTCGCCC